CTATTCATAAAAAATAGTCTAACTTCAATGAATAGTTAGCATATTTCCGTAATGCCGAGCAGAATGGCACAGTGCGTAGCAGTATAATTTTAGATCACATTATAGTTATAGCATCCTGTGCAGCATACGACATTTCGTTTTATTTTGACACTCGTTGCGGAGAGGTAATAGCTATTTTCTAAGACTACAGCACTTCTAATATGAATCCAAGTAGACTACTCAGCACTATGAAGTGCGTCAACGGGTGATAGAAATATGGCTTTTTTAAGGGATTGATGAGATGAATTTGGGCTCAGGGCGAAAAATCATGGGACATTCGAGCTGAGCTGAAAATCCGAGTCAAAAATTACTTGGACCGAAATTCGTGTAGCCCATATAGATAGGTATACAAATGTTTAAAAATTTTCTTTCATAAACGTGTTCACGTTCATCCTATCTCGTACGCATGTCAATTATACGAAAGTTTAAATTTTACATTTTTTTTCTGCAGCACTTTTACTGTTATGATTGGAGTAATGATTGATAACCGTGTCGCGGCTTGAGAAATAAATGTTTTGATCGTTCTTTATTTACATTCAGAATTTTGAGCTTTTTGGCGATCCAAATCAGACTAATTATGAACGTATTAAGAAAGTTAATTTTTTCAACTCTCGAAACTTCGTGCTCGTATACAGTTTTCAATTGACTTTAGTTTCTAGACAAGTGTTTGCACGTACGGAATGATATCTTTATAGCGTTTAAGTTGTGAAAAAAAGAGTTTTGTAAACGCTAAAAAGTTCAAAACTCGAGCATGGTAATGCATGTATTTACGTATCATTTCGATTACTTGTAGCTATATACACGGACGAAATACTTTGTTTTTTTAAACAAGAAATGTGTGCGAGTGCTCCTAGTTTGTATAGACTAATCAATTTGTATTGCATGCTTGCGTCTTTTTCATTTAGATTTTGGTGATAAAATGAATATGTATGTGATATACAATTCAATAATTCAAGCTAGACAACTGTCGATGTCGAAAGAGCAACTAAATATTTAAAATAATTGTGATTACGGCTTTGTTAGTTATTCGTTTTTTTCGTATTTCTCCAAGGATAAATGATATGAAAAATAAGCAAACTATTATTTTTTCTCTTGCAGTCGTATTTGTTTTTATGCCGTAGGCAGATTTATATAAGTAATGAAAGTTGTGAGGTAAAATTGCACACATTTCAAGCTATCGATCACAGTCAACACTGATTTGCGTGACCTTCTTCTGTCACCTTATTTTCTCTAACTTTCTGTCTGCATTCTCTATATTTTATTTCTTCGCCGATTTATTTTCCTTCTCTACTAATATATACATGAAAGTTTTTCTCATACACATGACTATCCTTATATTTGACTAAATTTTCTCTTTTATTAATGTTCATAATAATAGAGAATAGAAGAAAGAAAAAAAAAACGTCTGAAAACAATGGTGCAAGTATAACACACATACCTGCCAAAGTCAAATATTTATATCCAGAATGGAACAAAATATTGTTTTTATTTTATTTTTGTTAATTGTGATAGAGCAGGCAGGTAGGTAGGTAGTTAATTCTACCTCTGAGCAAAAAATTTTTTCCCTTCCTTCTGTTGTGAAACACAATTTAAAACTAGGGTTTAAGTATAGGGATGGAAATTTTGAACTTCCAAGACATCGTTATATATATATTCAAGAAATTCAAGTCAGCTGGAGATTATATATTGAAACCAATTAAGTTCATTTTACAAATCTGTTTTTATCAAAAACTAAGAATCTAATACTTAAACAACATAATCCGCGTCATAGAAACATAACACTGATAGGAGTTATCTGATGAAATCATTTTTTATTGAAGTGCAAGTATCTATACTAGTGCTGCCACCTTTTGAAGTCCAAAAAGCAGAAAATAATTTATAAAAAGCAGAAAATAATTTATAAAAAGCAGAAAAT